ACAGTAAACTAAATAAAGCGTGTATGTATAATATATCGATATACACTTACTCTTACTTGTGAAGACCTTGCAACATACAGTTGAAGAATATATATATAATATACACACACTTTGTGTATTTAAAAGAAAACCAATATATGTGTAACACTGACAGGCTACCTCATTCACAGGATAGTAGCGAGTTAATCATGACCATGTGGCATTGTATGTGTGATCAGTAGTAGGGCCTGAATAGCAAGCAATTAGTTGTTGGGTTTTTTTTTTTTGTTTTGTTTTTTTACGTGCTATGACTAACCCCGGAACGCTCAATACTTCTAAGCTTTCTCTTAATTACTATTTCAACATTTGGAAGGCAGAGTAAGCCTTTACTAGTTTGGAATGTGTGGTGGGGATTTAATTCTCCTACCTTTCAGCCTGTTAATAATTTCATAAACCATTTAATGTCATGAGTATGAAAGCACACTGCTTTGTAATGCGCTGCTTGCTCTCTAGTAGTGAACAGGGTTTAATTCAAGAATATGTATAATACCAGATAAAGGCCAGTATTGACAACATAAATATGTCAGTGGAGTGGTTTTTTTTAAATATAAAGAACACTGTAGTGTTACAAATTAGGAAACTGAGTCCCTCCTCTCCCTATGGTAAAAAGGTAATACTTTACTTTTATCCCATGCAGAAAAAAAAAAATCACTAACTCAAAAGTAACAGGTGTAATACGGCTACCCATTTAACGTCTTTATAGCTGGTGTAGACAGAGCTACTGGCTTCTACTAACCTAGGGGTACAATAAATATCTGGTGTGATGAAAACTGCTACTAAGGTATGGTTTGCTCACCTCTTCCCACCCATTTGTTTTTATATTTTCCGAGCTTAGTTATGTATTGGATTTTTTTTTCTTAGTTTTTTAAGGTTTGTAAGACTTGCCTTTGTAAGTTCTTGTGAGCATTTTTATACTCTAAAATCCTGTTTGGTTAGTTTTTCATTCAAAGCTCCTCTGTAAACCTGCTCTGCTTTGTTTGTATTAACTGTTCTGTACTTTGTTATACATTCCTAACTTTCATAAACTAATACAAAAGTTTGTCTTTGTGTGATGGGTCTTATTCCAGAAAAATACAGGAATGTAAAAGCATAAAAAGAATGTTCCTAATTTGGAGACGGATATGGGTTAATGTACGATTTTCAGTTATATTTCCTTACGAACTACAATTTGAGAGAGAAACTGATCATTTTGATTTTAAAGTAAAAAGCAATGTTCCAATATGTTCAAAATAAATGAGACTGTTATGGTGCTTACATACCTTGTCTCCTGCTACTGGGAAAAGACTTGAGAACACTTGAAAAGAGTGTATAGTAAGAGCAGCAAAAATGTGGTTGGGGAGAAGTATATTATATTTAACATTAAAGGAACACTTTATTTTTGTTTAATGTTTTACTACTGTACTGATTCAGCATCTATCTCCGCTCTGTAAATCAGGCTGCACACAATTTAAGTATCAACGCTGATGATCTCTGGTCCAGTCAGATGTTTTTCATAGGGCATCATTGAGGACCTGCGGTACTGACTACATTTTTTTGGTCGTGCTATGTTAGGTGACATTGAAAATTGACCTTAAAATAAATACATTTGAAAAATTAAGGTCTGACAGCCGCTGGACACATATATATTTATATATATATATATATTTTTTTTTTTTTTTTTTTTTGAGAAATATACACTTTGGCAAAACAGGCATGTTTTACCTTGCCCAAGAAAAGGGACCTAATCTAGAAGCTAAAAACCACTACATTACTATGTAGTGGTTTTGGTACTTATAGTGTCGCTTTTGAAGCGGCACAGTAGCTGATCTCATGTTGAGTGAATCAGAGTGCAGCAAGATTTAAAACCGCTACGGTCACTTTTTGCAGGTTTTGCTTTTTTTCAATTAACCCTTTTAGTTTCTCTTTTTCTTCTTGAGATCTTATTTGAAATTCCACAAAATACAAAAATACTTTTTCTCATGGGGAGCAACTTCTGATAGTGGGTTCCGTTTTAGTTGCTTAGCTGATTTGCCCACATTCCATCAATCAAAATATTCCCACAGAAGGGGTGGTATGGACAGAAAATAACAAAATGAAGGCATTCAGGCATTGAGATCTGGCACAAGCAAGGAAAGTATTAAATACATTACACACACTAAGTTAAAACTTAGTTTTTGGTTTTTTTTGTAAACGGTGCAGTTTTATCTCCTAGTCCCAGATTGCAAAATGATCCAATTAAAAATTAAGTGTCTACACTAAATTGCAGCCTACATCTTGAAAATGTGAAAGCTATATAATTTTATAAATTTAAACTTGTGTAGATCTGTTTTGTAAAACTTATATTTACATTAAAGGCATTTGTAGTTTTGAGTATAATTATGTATGCCCCTATACAGACTTTCTGCATTCTGGTGACATTTGAAGAAAGATGTATACCCTAAAATGCCTACAAGTATACCCCAAAAGATTACGTTTAAAAAAAAAAAATTGTCCCATCTCCAATTCCTCTGCACAAACCATAAAGTTGCCAAGTGAAGCCAACATTCATCAGTATCTGCCTGCCCCATCTGCAGTCGTTGAGCATGTGAAAAGAGATAAGTTAAGATTCTGATGTCAGAGGTTCAGTAGAGGAAGCAGCTCTAGTTCGTTTTAGATTCTTGGAGAAAAATCCACTAAAAATTCTCATCACAATCACTATAAAATGTTTCCTAAACTAGATAATTGATAAAGTAGGAGAAATCCTTTCTGATGTGGAAATCACACATCCAATTTCTGGGACTGATTCAAGATACAGTTTATCAAAATGGCTAAAGCACAATCAAAATAAACAGGCTCTTTATTGATTAATTTGAGGAAAGCTATGGCCACTATTGTTGACCACTACAATCAGATATTCTGGAAAGTCTGAGCTCTGCTTTCAGGTGGTGACAAGAAAATGTTGGCTTTTGGGAACAGATTTGTAAGCTTGGCCATGGATTTTGGAATTCAGATGATGAACTACAGGGCTTTGGATTTCAGGGAACAAAAAGCTTCAGTAAATCTCAGCAGGTTAAAAAAGTCTAGGTGCAGTAAAATGTTACCATGACTTTTCGCTAGAGGCCATATAAGTTGAAATTAGATCTTGGGCAGAACTTCATCTAATTTTAATTTATTTATTTATGACACATCAAAGGTGTGGGAATGAATTAACAAACAGGCCGGGTGAACTTCCTTTAAGGCAGACTGCCTGGTAAACAAACATTTTAATTTGTCTGAAATAAACTGTTGATAGGGCTGGCAAGTGGACAGTTGGGATTGTGGCCTGCAGCCACACATTATTATTCTGTATTTTAAAATAGTGGAGGGCTACTATAACCTTTTGTGGGTTAGTGCTGATAGCTTGCAATCTCAATGTTCTCAATTAAGAGAGATTGAGATAATTGCCTTATGGAAACCACCACACATGATACACTGTATAGATAATGAGATTCTACAATCTTTACTATCATAAGGCCCAAAGCATCTAAAGTAAGTGTTAAAGGGACACTCCAGGCACCCAGACCACTTCTGCCCATTGGAGGGGTCTGGGTGCCAACTCCCACTACCCTTAACCCTGCAAGTGTAATTATTGCAGTTTTTTATAAACTGCAATAATTACTTTGCAGGTTTAACGCCACCTCTAGTGGCTGTCTACTAGACAGCCACTAGAGGGCACTTCCTGCTCTATAGCACAGAAAACCTGTGCTAGAGCGTCACTGGACGTCCTCACGCTGTTCAGTCTCATGGATCAGTCTCGCCCACCGGCCGACGTAATGACTGGGAGGAGTGTCGGCGAGAAGAAACCACCACCGAGGGACATTTGCGGGGTCTCAGGTAAGTGACCTGAAGGGGTTTTCAGCTACCGGGGATTGGGAAGTGGGAGGGAGAGGGGACCTGCAGTGCCAGGAAAAAGGATTGTTTTCCTGGCACTGGAGTTTCCCATTAAACAGAAATTCTCCAGCCTATTGACTTCCCAAAACCCAAGTCTGTCCTGAAAAAAAAATCCATTGAAACAATCAGCCATTTGTATGTTTGAAGGGAGCAGTCCCTAAGGCAAACGTTAATATAGATTGGACCTTGGGCAAGCCTGGACCTTGCCCCCACTTCCTGGCATGCAATCATTCCCTCCACCCCAGCCTAGTGGCAGAACTAATGTAGAGAAGATATTTTCTTGTCCACCCCCGGCGCAACATATAGATCCCCGTCTATTGTTCAATTCCACAATGCTATGATAGCTGGGGATCTACCATGTGGCCATCCTTGCCGGGTTGTATTTGTGAGCAGTGTAATCATGTTTTTGTACACAGTATGTGTGTGCATGTAGGGGTGTATTTGTATGTGCTGTTACCATTGGCTTGCAGTGGTGTTTGCAGGGGTGTGTTTGTAGTGTTGTCTTTTAAATGCAGGTGTACATTTGTGTGTAGTATTGGTGTTTTAGTATATAATTTTGCAGTTTGAATTAACCCCTTAAGGACGGAGCCAAATGTACACGTTGTGAACAAAACAAAATGTAAACAAAACCTGGCATTTGCGCTACATGTCTGTCCAACCGTAATTCACCTCTTTCATAGTAAATGCACCCACCCTTATTATTTATCATTTTATTCAGGGGAAACAGGGCTTTCATTTAATATCAAATATTTAGCTATGAAACATAATTTAATATGAAAAAAATGGGAGAAAATATGATTTTAAAAAGATTTTTTAGTTCTACATGACATTTTAACGGTCAATGTCATAATACTGTTTGCTTTTACTGCAATAAAATACACATATTTGTATTCAGTAAAGTCTCACGTGTAAGACAGTACCCCTATGTACAGGTTTTATGGCGTTTTGGGAAGTTACAGGGTCAAATATAGCACGTTACATTTGAAATTGAAATTCGCCAGATTGGTTACGTTGCCTTTGAGACTGTATAGTAACCCAGGAATGAAATTTACACCCATAATGGCATACCATTTACAATAGTAGACAACCCAAGGTATTGCAAATGGGGTATGTCCAGTCTTTTTTAGTAGCCATTTGGTCACAAACACTGGCCAAAGTTAGCGTTCGTATCTGTTTGTGTGAAAAATGCAAAAAATTCCAATTTTGGCCAGTGTTTGTGACTAAGTGGCTACTAAAAAAGACTGGACATACCCTGTTTGCAATACCTTGGGTTGTCTACTATTGCAAATGGTATGCCATCATAGGGGTAATTTTCATTCTTGGGCTACCATAGGGTCTCAAAGGCAACGTAACCAATCTGGCGAATTTTAATGTGAAAAAAATGAAACGCAAGCCTTATATTTGACGCTGTATCTTTTGAAAACACCATAAAACCTGTACATGAGGGGTACTGTTGTACTCGGGAGACTTCACTGAACACAAATATTTTGCATTATTTTGAAACACCAATATTTGTGTTCAGCTTAAGTCTCCCAGAACAGTACCCCCATGTACAGGTTTTTTATGGTGTCTTGGAAAGTTATATAGGGGTTAAATATAGTGCTAGCAAATTAAATTCCCTTTTTACTTTTGGCATGGGTTGTCAGGCAGGTCCTGCTAATTGTAACAATTAATTAAGATACCTAATTATGTAAAATATTACATAAATATATATATAGAATTACTTATGTATATATATAATGAGTGTGTATATATATGTATATATCTATATAATTTTAAAAATATTTTATTTATATATATACAGGGAGTGCAGAATTATTAGGCAAATGAGTATTTTGACCACATCATCCTTTATGCATGTTGTCTTACTCCAAGCTGTATAGGCTCGAAAGCCTACTACCAATTAAGCATATTAGGTGATGTGCATCTCTGTAATGAGAAGGGGTGTGGTCTAATGACATCAACACCCTATATCAGGTGTGCATAATTATTAGGCAACTTCCTTTCCTTTGGCAAAATGGGTCAAAAAGAAGGACTTGACAGGCTCAGAAAAGTCAAAAACAGTGAGATATCTTGCAGAGGGATGCAGCACTCTTAAAATTGCAAAGCTTCTGAAGCGGGATCATCGAACAATCAAGCGTTTCATTCAAAATAGTCAACAGGGTCGCAAGAAGCGTGTGGAAAAACCAAGGCGCAAAATAACTGCCCATGAACTGAGAAAAGTCAAGCGTGCAGCTGCCACGATGCCACTTGCCACCAGTTTGGCCATATTTCAGAGCTGCAACATCACTGAGTGCCCAAAAGCACAAGGTGTGCAATACTCAGAGACATGGCCAAGGTAAGAAAGGCTGAAAGACGACCACCACTGAACAAGACACACAAGCTGAAACGCCAAGACTGGGCCAAGAAATATCTCAAGACTGATTTTTCTAAGGTTTTATGGACTGATGAAATGAGAGTGAGTCTTGATGGGCGGATGGATGGGCCCGTGGCTGGATTGGTAAAGGGCAGAGAGCTCCAGTCCGACTCAGACGCCAGCAAGGTGGAGGTGGAGTACTGGTTTGGGCTGGTATCATCAAAGATGAGCTTGTGGGGCCTTTTTCGGGTTGAGGATGGAGTCAAGCTCAACTCCCAGTCCTACTGCCAGTTCCTGGAAGACACCTTCTTCAAGCAGTGGTACAGGAAGAAGTCTGCATCCTTCAAGAAAAACATGATTTTCATGCAGGACAATGCTCCATCACACGCGTCCAAGTACTCCACAGCGTGGCTGGCAAGAAAGGGTATAAAGAAGAAAATCTAATGACATGGCCTCCTTGTTCACCTGATCTGAACCCCATTGAGAACCTGTGGTCCATCAACAAATGTGAGATTTACAAGGAGGGAAAACAGTACACCTCTCTGAACAGTGTCTGGGAGTCTGTGGTTGCTGCTGCACGCAATGTTGATGGTGAACAGATCAAAACACTGACAGAATCCATGGATGGCAGGTTTTTGAGTGTCCTTGCAAAGAAAGGTGGCCATATTGGTCACTGATTTGTTTTTGTTTTGTTTTTGAATGTCAGAAATGTATATTTGTGAATGTTGAGATGTTATATTGGTTTCACTGGTAATAATAAATAATTGAAATGGGTATATATTTGTTTTTTGTTAAGTTGCCTAATAATTATGCACAGTAATAGTCACCTGCACACACAGATATCCCCCTAACATAGCTATAACTAAAAACAAACTAAAAACTACTTCCAAAAATATTCAGCTTTGATATTAATGAGTTTTTTGGGTTCATTGAGAACATGGTTGTTGTTCAATAATAAAATTAATCCTCAAAAATACAACTTGCCTAATAATTCTGCACTCCCTGTAGGTATATATATAGTGATATATACGTATATATTTATGTATATAGATATATATATATTATTTCGTTCTACATGTATTTTGATCTATATATATATATATTAATTTCACAATACAATTAGAACGAAATAACACACATCTATATATTTTTTAATTATTTATTTTTAATTATTTTTTTAATTTTATTTTTTTACGTATATACATATTTTTTTTATATTATATATAAATATATATAACAATAATTATATATATATTTAATCAGTATCAGTCTACCTGTAATTTGATATTAATATATATATAATTATATATATATTAATAGTAAAATACACCTAGACAGTGTACGTGTGTGTATGTATATATATATACTTAGATAATATATATATATATTTTTTTACACTTTTTAATTTATTTCATTTTATTTTCAGAGATGAGAGTGAGAGAGAGGACCCGGAGCTCAGGCTGCAGCTCCTCCAGGTCCTCCTTGCTCGAGATTTGGAGCGTTGCCGCGGTTACCACAGCAACGCTCCAAATCTCGCGAGAGTGAACTCTAGCCCGGGAGTGTGGACTAGAGTTCACTCTCACCACCTGACCACCAGGGAATCACCACTGGGACCACCAGGGAAATGTCCCCCCTCCTCCTAAATAAAGGGAGGGGGGACATAGGATATTTATTTTATTAAATAAAATTTTTAAAAAATATTATTTAAAAGCCTCCTTCCCCCGCCCCATACACACACTGCCCCCCCAATTACACACACTGCCCCCCATTACACACACTGCCCCCATTACACACACTGCCCCATTACACACATACTCCACCACTACACACACTGCCCCATTACCCAAACACTGCCCCCATACACACACTGCCCCACAAACACTGTCCCCATACACACACTGTCCCCATACACACACTGCCCCACAAACACTGTCCCCATACACACACACTGCCCCCATACACACACTGCCCCACAAACATTGTCCCCATACACACACTGCCCCACAAACACTGTCCCCATACACACACTGTCCCCATACACACACTTCCCCACATTGTCCCCATATGTAGGCTATATGTATCGAGTATGATTACAGTAACATCATTAACTTCCCACACTCCTCCCTCTCCCCCCCCATTAAACAGTGGTAATATCGTCGTCCCCATGCCATTGGCGGATCCAGGGGGGGGGCAACGGGGCAATTGCCTCCCCCGAGATTCCCCCCTGCCGGCTAACGCAGGGCTGGCACTGCCCAAGTGCCAGCCCTGCAATGTGCCTGCGGACCGGGGAGGAAGATCAGAGATCTCCCTCCCCGGTCCGCAGGCACCGTGCTGACAGCCGGCGGCGGAGGGAGGGAGTGAGAGAGAGAGAGGACCCGGAGCTCAGTCTGCAGCTCCTCCGGGTCCTCCTCTCTCGAGATTTGGAGCGTTGCCGCGGTTACCACGGCAACGCTCCAAATCTCGCGAGAGTGAACTCTAGCCCGGGAGCGCGGGCTAGAGCTCACTGTAACCACTGGGACCACCAATGAATCCCCCACCGGACCACCAGGGAAATGTCCCCCCTCCTCCTAAATAAAGGTAAGAAGGGAGGGGGGACATAGAATATTTATTTTATAAAATAAAAAAAAATTATTATTTAAAAGCCTCCTCCCCCCCCCATATTACACACACTGCCCCCCCATATTACACACACTGCCCCCCATACACACACTGCCCCCATTACACACACTGCCCCCCATACACACACTGCCCCCCATTACACACACTGCCCCCCCATACACACACAAATTCACTTCTGTATGGCATCAGAATGAAATCAGTTTTTTGGATCTGTCCTTAATATGTGATAATGATTCCATAAAAACAAAGTGTTTCTTCAAACCCAGTGATGGCAATGGATATGTTCATCAGCAGAGCTGCCATCACCGCCCTTGGCTTAGAGGAATAGCCAAGGGCCAATTCGCTAGGGTGAGAAGGAATTGCTCTCAAGTCAATGACTTTATTACACAATCTGGCCACATTAGGGATAAATTGATTGAAAGAGGCTATAAAAAGAATACATTGGATAGGGAAATCCGTATGGCTTTACAATCCGACAGGGGTAATTACCTTATGGACAAACCTAGTGTTAAATCTCATCAGGATAATACAATTACTTTTAGAACTCAATACTGTACCAATCATGTTAAAATTAGGAGAAGTTTACAAAAACATTGGTCGATTCTCCAACAGGATCCTGTATTGAATTCTGTTTTACCAGATCGGCCTAAACTTATTTTTAGAAAAAAACAAAATTTTAAAAATATTTTGGCACCCAGTTATGCCTTAAAACATCATGAGGACAGTCATAAGTCAATGGGTAATAATTCTTTTAGGGGTTGTAATTCTTGCAAAGCTTGTCACACTGTTAATTTAGAACGTACGGATAAATTCTCTAGTTTTACAACAGGGGAGGTTTTCCACATTAAGACCGAGATACATTGCCGCACGGATTATGTAGTTTATTTACTGCAGTGTCCGTGCGGCAAACAATATGTTGGCAGAACAAAGAGATTTTTAAAAGTTCGGTTTATGGAACATATCAATAATATCAAAAAGAACTTGGCCACCCACTCTATCCCAGTTCACTGTAATCATTGTTCACTATTTTCTTTTACAAAATTTAAGTGCATTGGTATTGAGAGGGTAACAACAGATTGGAGAGGGGGTGATAGAGTTAAAAAATTATCACAACGTGAGACCTACTGGATCCATAAATTACAGACATTGGAACCAGGAGGTTTAAATGTTGAAGTGGATTTAGTGTGTTTTTTATGATTGTAATTCACTATTTAGTATTAAACAAAAAGATTCACTATTCAGTATTAAATCAAGTAATACATTACATATTTGTATATATAAAAGGTGAGAGGAGAGAAAGGAAGAATGAGGAAAGAAAGGGAAAAAAAATAAAAAAAAATAAAAATAAAAATTTTTAGGATAATAAATAATGATTGACACAAAAAGTAGCACATTGATGAATTTATTGGCATTTATTACAAATTTACTGATGAATATAAATCACATTTTCATAAAAATATGGGATTAATTGATATTATTAAATCACATTCATGTGGTATATTAGAGTGGATTATGTTTAGTTATTGAATTTATATGGTGAATAGTATAGTATTTCTTGTATGAATTATAAGATTAATACACTAATAGTGACTTTAGATTGGAAGAGTGGAAGTATTTACATGTATTTTATGGCCAGATATTGCAGATTATAAATGGAACGCAAAACAACGAGTTTGGAACGCATATTACTTCCGGTTCCGTCAACGTGGTTGGAACGCATGCCACTTCCGGTTTAGTGAACGCAGTTGGAACGCATGGTACTTCCGTGCCGGCAGCTGTCGGAGGATTATTGAACAATTCCGAAATCAGCTGTGAACACTTGGAGCCGCGATCGGCAACAGATGAACCCTATTAATGGAGGACCAATGAGGAGAGTCTGAGGATAACATGTGACTGAATTTAGATGAGGGATTAGCCCTATTTAAAGGACTTTTCGGGTGGGGATTTGTTAGGCTGTTTTTTGATTGTACTGTATCAAATTGTTTCTTAATATTGTGGTCCCTGAGGAAGTCCCTACTTTGTTAAAGGGACGAAACGCGTAGGACCTTATTTATATTTATTTTATTCTTTTTTAAACTTATTTTAATATTGAATTAAAGCCAATTTTTCAAACTTCACCCGGAGTCCTGTGTTGGAGTGAAAATATCCAGGGGATTTCCCTAGCCCCCCCTACTATCGGGGAAGGCACCTTACAAGCTTCAATTTGTCCAAAATCCAGTGAGTGCATTTCAATTTGCGCAATGTCTATACTGTAAACTGTATTACACTATATTTTCTCTATTTACTTTTGTAGAGATTATAAACCAGATATTTATCTCATATTCTCAGTAGTGTTGGAGATATGTATTGGATTATTTTTCATTTATGGTGGGATTTTGCTAATGATCCAGCAATACTTGACTCAAATTCTACGGATTGTCAGTACCATCACTAAAACTTCATTATTACATTTTTTACTAGCTATTTATTTCACTCTATTCCCACTTAGCTAAACAAGTATAGAACACTCTTATATGTCACCTGCTTAATTGGACACTATAGTCACCAAAACAACTTTAGCTTATTAATTAATCAGTTTTGGTGTATAGATCATACTTCTGCAGTCTCCCTGCTCAATTCTCTGCCAGTTAGGAGTTAAATCACTTTGTTTATGCAGTCCTAGTCACACCTTCCTGCATGTGACTTACACAGCCTCCCTAAACACTTCCTGTAAAGAGTCATCTAATGTTTACACCTTCTTTATTGCAAATTCTGTTTAATTTAGGGGTGGTGTGGCTAGAGCTGAAAAAACAGAAATAAAAGTGATTTAACTTCTGAATGGCAGATGATTGAGCAGTGAGACTTCAGAGGCATGACCTGTACACTAAGACTGCTTTATTAAACTAAAGTTGTTTTGGTGACTAATGTAGCAAAAGTAATCTCACTGTACAGCAAGAAAACAATAACTCCAACTGAGGCGGGAGAGTATTTGGGTTATGGAAGAACTCTATGGTACAATATCCACACAATTTAGAAAACGGTCGACATATGGTGACAGTATTTACTATGTACAAACCTTGCTAATGGACGGTTCTCAATACATGCTTGGCTAACAATTTTTACAAAAGCATTCGCCAAAATAAAAAAATATAAATAAAAAAAAATAAAAACATTCTCACTGCTTTGTGAAAACCACACAATCACACCATACAATCAAAGATCTTTATTTAGACCATGTCCCCAACAAACAGACTGTGTTGCTAACAGATTCTTATTGGGTTGAGTACCCCACCCATCCACTACAGATGTCCCTCTAGAGGTGACCATAATGTGAGGAGAGTCTCTGGAAGCCATTTAAGTATTGGAGATAACGTTTATCTCCCATGTTAAAATTAATGTAGGACCCACCGATATTGGGGTACTGTGTCGTAGTGGTGGGCTAAACACAATATGGCCCTATGTTGTAACTGAATCTCCATATTTGTTTGTTAATTAGCCTTGTAAAATTTAAAACTGTATTTTTGTATGCGCCCTGTTCCTTAAAGGACCACTCTAGGCACCCAGACCACTTCAGCTTAATGAAGTGGTCTGGGTGCCAGGTCCTTCTAGGGTTAACCCATTTTTTCATAATTATAGCAGTTTCAGAGAAACTGCTATAATTATGAATGGGTTAAGCCTTCCCCCTAATCCTCTAGTGGCTGTCTCATTGACAGCTACTAGAGGCGCTTGCGTGCTTCTCACTGTGAAAATCACAGTGAGAGCACGCCAGCGTCCATAGGAAAGCATTGTAAATGCTTTCCTATGAGGCCGGCTGAATGCGCGCGCAGCTCTTGCCGCGCGTGCGCATTCAGCCGGCGGGGCGTAACGGAGGCTGAGAGGAGGAGGAGAGCTCTCCGCCCAGCGCTGGAAAAAGGTAAGTTATTACCCCTTTCCCCCTTCCAGAGCCGGGCGGGAGGGGGTCCCTGAGGGTGGGGGCACCCTCAGGGCACTATAGTGCCAGGAAAACGAGTATGTTTTCCTGGCACTATAGTGGTCCTTTAATCTGTATTTTTGTGTTGCTAAAAGTTTTCCCCCTTTCCTTTTGTAACCTTCTGGTTCTCAGTTGATTAATCTGTTCTTAATGCTCATGTCTCCCCTGCAACCTCCCCACATCTCTTTATTTCTGTATACATTAATACTTGTTATTTATTGCAGGGCACTTACATCACGAAGAAACTATGTTAACCCTACTCGCAATACGTCCATACTAATTGAGATTAATCTCTGCCTTTCTTGCCTTGTACAGAAAACCGCTTATTTTGGTTATATATATATATATATATATATATATTTATATATTACAGTGAGGAAAAAAAGTATTTGATCTCCTGCTAATTTTGAATGTTTGCCCACTGAAATGATCAGTCTATAATGTTAATGGCAAGGGTATTTTACCAGTGAGAGACAG